CCCAAGGCCCAAGGCAGGTGTCAGGTTACCTACCACTCTCGCTTTCATCCTGCTGCACAATGTTGTACAGGGCATAAACCCCTGTGTTGGTGATCATGCCATCACTTCTGAACACTGCAGTCATGATGAGGAGAGGAATAGAGACTCCTCTCTTAAGGGAGAAGGACATGGGTCAGGCACACCCCGCCCCAAGGCAGGTGTCACGTTACCTACCACTCTCGCTTTCATCCTGCTGCACAATGTTGTACAGGGCATAAAACCCTGTGTTGGTGATCATGCCATCACTTCTGAACACTGCAGTCATGATGTTTGAAGAGGAGAGGAATGTGAGCTCCCTCCCAGCACAAAACCTGCCCATGGAGAGTGAGGCAGCTTGCCACCCGTCAAACACTTCCACAAAGTCATAAGGGCACCCATAGATGTCTTCCAGTCTGAGGAGAGGAAAGCAGTGTTAATGTCGTCAAAGAAGCCATCCCTGCCTCCTCCTTCCAATTGCGCCTTCCACCAATCACTAGGCTTCCTAGGAGTCAGGTGACTGCCCTCCCTTACTTCCTGTCTGGGGCTGCCTCTATCTGTCAGACTCCTGTCTCTCACCTGATCCACTTCAGCAGATTTTCACCTGGTGTCCTTGCTTTCAGCCTCTCCCACTCTATTCCTCCTCTCTATCTTGAGGGTCCCTGACTCCAATTCAAATCTCTCCACTCTCTGTGGTGACAGTAAGTGTCCAACAGTTTCTCATTGAGAGAAAAGCTTAAGAAGGTCCTAAGAAGAGAAAAATAATGACAGCTATAAAAAGCTCCAGGGCCTGTTGAATGGACTCTTTTACCAATGTCCCAACCTTTTTGGCTCAAACTAACTGTTTCCACAAAACATTTTATCCAACCTGCATGGTCAGAAAAGCTCTCCTAGCATCCTACCTTCTACAATCTTTTCCCTTTGCTCTAGCTTATCACCAATATATATATATATATATATTTTTTTCTTCATTCCACTTATCTATTTGTCACAACCTGAAATTGTCCACTGAATTATTGATTTATTTGGGTGCTATTTGTCTTTCATAATATGAACTCAGGAGAGTAGAACTATCATCCATCTTGTTTGGTATTAAAGTCCATCCTTAGACCAGGGCCCACAAGCTCGACAAGTAAATGTTGAAAGCATATCAACATCCATCTAGCCTGCTACAAATATGAAAGATGCACATTTGCATCTAAACAACTGTAAGCACTTTTCATTGCCTGCATTACATGTTTTCGTTGTGCAATATACAGAAAATCAATGGACATAACTACATTTTCCACATACACTAAGTACTAGATTTGAAAATGTGCTAGTGCAGAACACATTTATTCCAGAAAATCAAAAGCCAAATATCTAATATTAATCCAGTTAAAATTTTTAAGAAGTCCTGATAAATTGTGTGTGTATGGTGATAACAGGGTGGCCGTAAGAAATGTGACATTAAAATGAAGACTAGGTCTGGAGAATCCTTGAGCAGATATGCCTAGAAGGCCTCATAAGTGACTTCAACCTTGCTTGATTTGCAAATACTGCAAGCAAAATTTTAACATTTATTGTAAATGCCTGGATCACAGAGAAAATTTAAGCCCAGCCAGAAATAGTCGATGAACTTAGAGTTACATAACTAGAGACATTCCAATGGGACAACCAAATGCAGCAACTGTGTGATTTTAACCAAGTAAATGTGGGTTTTTTTTTTTTTGTCTTATTTCTGTATATCCTATAGAACCTTTCCCATTATAGGCCCTTAGAGGAGCTCTTAAACCACTTCTAATGGTAAATGCTTATTTCACGATTGCTTGTTTGTCATGTAAATTCCTTAAAATTTTTGTTGTACCTCAGTTCACCCTTTTAAGCATAGGTGACACTTGTATCTGAAAAGTTATTTAATTAGAAAGCAGCATAATTTTAGTAAGCATGAAATGGCATAATTTAAATATAGATAAAATTGTTGCAGATCAGATAGGAAGCAAATTTCTGTAGGTGTTGGAATAGAAAAAAGATAAAGCAAGTTTGAGGCAAATCAGGGTTTCTTAATCTCAGCAGTACTATCATTGGTGTTGGATAATTCTTTGCTGAGGTGTGCTGTCTCTAGTTTTGAGTACACTTAGCAGCATCCCTGGCCTCTATCCACTAGATGGCAGTAGTGTCCCTATTTAGGACAGTCAAAAACATCTGCATGAAGCAGAAGAGGGCTAGCCGCTCAAGTCCAGCCTAGGCTAAGTAATAAGTTCAATGCCAACCTGACCTACATAACAAGGCCCTGTCTCAGAAAACAAAACAAAGCAAAAGAAAGAAAAGCGAAACAAAACAAAATATCTCCAGACTTAGCCAAGTGTCCTGTAGGAAGGTATAATCAACCCCAGTTAAGAACTACTTTATAAATAAGAAATAATTTTGTCTTGAAAAACAAAAAGCAAATATTAATAAACCTAGACTTAAAAAATATCAAAACTCCCCAATTAGCAATTATGCTCTGGTTCTAGGCAACACATTAAACAACTCCTTGCTTTGGGTGTTTCAAACCTGTAGAAGGAAGTTTATGTTGTGGGCTACCATAGCTGTTCAGAGTAACTATTTTCCAGAAATGACAAAATGATAACTCTGTACCCCAAAGCATTGGAAATGTGGATTTTACAGATTTGAAATATATGACACCAAATCTTCTCATATTTCTTCCAACAAATACACACAAGTTAAGTGAATGAGTTAAGTAATGATATATTTTCCTCACAACACATAATTTCCTGTATGCATTCTATACCAAGAAGGAATTAGCCACTAGGTAAACCCAATTACTGCCCACCACTTTTATACTTTTAAAAACAACATTCTGACAACTGTGCCAATGTACGCAGATGGAAAGCAGTAGCAGAGTTCTGGGATATACTGTGAGTCTAAGTTGGAAAGAGAAAATGCGATCAGATGCGACCCTGTATACAAAGATGAAACCAGGGTTAAACATTATCAGGAAATATAATTTTGCCATATGAATTTTAAAATGTTTACTATACTAGCAAAGTGTTTTTTTATACTACTTTTCTCCAAAACTGTACTTATGTATATGTATGTCTTATGTATGAACATACTCGTGTCTATACAGGTGGGCTTCCATATCTGTGTGGGTTCCATCTGAGGATTCACCTGACTGTGGACCAAAACTATTTGAAAAATTTGCATCTGTATTAAACTTATGCAGATTTTTTTTTCTTGTCATTATTCTCTAATAATATAGAATGACTATGCAGGGTTTACATTGTATGAGGTATTATGACTAATTGACAATGATTTAAAGTATATAGGAGGATGTTTATAGTTTCTGTGTAATACTCTACCATTTTATATCAGGGACCCAAGCATCATGGAGTCCCCTTTGGTAGCCAGGGGGCTCATGGAACCAGTCCCACGTGGCTGATATATATAAACGTCTTTAAATATACATTGAAATAAGATAAATTCCTTTCAAAGCAGTGATAGTTGGGAAAAGAAGCAGAAAGCACAAAGTGCATGATAGGAGAAGTGAATGAACTGTTTAATTTGTAGAAATAGACATTCTTGAAGGGACAAGGAAGTGGTTTTTGCTTTGTAGTGTTAGACGGAAAAATGACCAGACAGTGGGAATGAGGAAAAACAGATCTGGAGGAAGAAGCTCATATCTCAGATGGAGCTGGCTGAGGGCAGGGGTGAGGCCTTCACATGCGGGACACCCCAGCTGGTCTCCATGGCCTGGTGCCTAGATGCCCTGGCTTTTTCTCTCCTTGCACAAGAAATTGAGTTAAATGTCTAAATTGAGCTACACGTCTAAATGTGTAAAGAAATTGAGCTAAATGTTTTAGTCCTTAGACTAAGTCCTTAGTCACACCTTAGATGACCAGACCTATTCTTACCTAAAATTGAAAAGATTTGTCCCACAGAAAGGCCCCCTCTTTGAGGAAAGTACAGATTCAAACTTACTCTGGCCTTTAAAATGGAGAAAGGGAAAGCTGCTTACTTCAGGTGTGGGATCTTCAGTTCTATGTGGAACTTCTCAGCCACCTGTATCACCCAGACACACTCCACATCAGTGGGGTAGTTTGTTGGATACCAAGGACTGGAGAAAGAGCCTGAGAGGCTTGAAATTACTCCTCCACAAGAGTTACTTCCTTCTGTGAGAGCAAAGGAAAGACTGATGGTTGGCTTTGTTAAGCACGCACCTTGCATTTTTCCAGGTAGAACCCAGAATCCCAAGCTCAGCAGTGGAATCACAAAATTGGAAGGGATCATGCTGGTCTGGACATACTGGTGGTTGGACTGGTGTGAGCAGCTTTTTCTCTGAGAGAGCACTGAGAGGGGGTGAAAGATGTCCAACTGGCAGGAAAGACCCTAAAATTGATTGTAGGTGAGACTGGAAATGGCATTGGACAACTGTACGCAGTATGCATGTGGTGCTCAAGCTATTATTTCTTTCATGCTCTTCCCAGCTTCCTGTTACAAAAATCAGCTCAACTCAGAGGCGGACAAAGCACCCAACTGTGAGGGGTCCAGCATACCTGTTCCTTTCCCTCATGGCAGACAGAACAGACTGAAGTTACTGTGCTTTTAGGAGCTACCCAAATGATTCCACTCAATATTTTACAGATCATAATTTCAGCAGAGAGGTTTACCTTGTGGTACAGGGCCTTGACGAATGGAAGCTATAAAAATCAACCAGAGAAAATCAGAAGAGAGCTTAGTATCAGAAAACCACCTTGTACTTAATTACAAATGAATGTACACATTACTACTTCTGAGTTTTAATAAATAATTTGACACACTCATTTATTTCTCTTTTCTCCCTGATCTGAGATGGCATCTTTCCCCTGCTTTCAGTGGGTTCAGCAGACAATAACTACCTAGGTTATATTGTTGTTACTAGTTAACCAGCAAACCCAGGGCTGCCCCGAGACCGACCAGTCCCTGGGAATCACCCAGAGTAACATCACGGGGCTTGTGATCATGCCACTGTGCCTTCAAAGTTTATCAAGTTGTCAGAATTCAGGAAGACGAAACACAAAATCTTCAAGCCAGGAAGTCAGAGTAAGCTGGACAAGAGTCCTGCTGATGGAAGATGAGCCTCAGTAGAGGACTCCAATGCATGCTTCTCTTTCAGTGTTTTGTTGGGTTTGATTCATACAGAATATACATTTCAATATTCAAAATTCCATAGTTCAATCCTCGACATATGGTAGTTTGTGGCCAGGCCACTTTTGAAAGCCTGTTCATTGTAATTCTGGTACCTGCTTGAGTTTTTTGGTGGGTTTTGTTGTTGTTGTTGTTGTTTCTTATTGTTTGGGGTTTTGGTTTGTTTTTGTTTTTGTTGGTTTGTTTGTTTGCTTTTTGGTACCAGGGATTGAACTCAGGACCTTGCCTTTGTGAGGCAGGCAGCGGCACCACTGAGCTAAATCCCCAGCCTAACCTCCATGAGTTTTACATAAAGGGTTTGGTGGGGAAAGAGTTTGAAGTAGATAGGTCAGGTGGTTTGAAAATTCTTTTAGCTTCATTGCCTTACTGTGCTGCCAGCTCACTGCAAGAGGCATAGCAGGGAAGATGAGGGACACTCTTCACTTGCCTTTTCTTCTTGGTCCTTTGCCAAGGACAATATTGGACATCAGCAGAAAAAAATTCTAATCTAGGTGTCTCAGGAGCAATTTTCTTTTGTTAAAATGTTCAGTACACATACAATGACCTCCTTAGATGATTAACTGGCAAAAGCTTTCATTTTCCCTGTGTAGGTAGGTAGGTATAGCATGGTCTGTCAGTAAGTGGTTTGCTGGATTGACACTTAGAATGGGATTAATGCTTTTAGATACAAAAGGTTTCATTTCTTCCCATAGTTTTTTAAATCCCCTACTTATTCTCTTCCCTAGCCAGCTACCTCTCTGCGTAGAAAAAGTTATATTACAGTAGGGAGAAGAAAGAAAAGCCTTCTGAGGTTTGAAACCTAGGGCTCCAAGAGGATTTGAGCACAGAGCCAGCTATGTCAGCTGTCACCCCGCCATGCCTTCCTCTTCCCTCGACCAGGCTAGAATGGATTCCTCACTGAGAAAGAAGAGGAAAGCAATGGGGAATCAAAGGAGCTTAGCTACTTGTTAGACCCAGAAGACGGATTATATGTGCCCTGCCTCTCCTCCAGGGCTGCTATATAATTTGTGGGTACTGTGAAAAATGAAAATGTGAGACATTAACCAGGCGTGCAGAACTCAATCTTCCCTTCCTATAGTCTACTGTGCCATATGACAGCAATTGGACCACCCTCAAGGAATGATGGTGCTCAGCCTGGAAGGTACCCAGAACTTGATCAGGGTGGGCAAGAGACCACCACTGAGTTTCCATCAAATATGCAATGGTGCTGATAGGCCAGGGTAGGGACAGCTGCCAGCCTCCACGGTGTGTCATGGAACACCACAGAGTGTACCTTCAACGTTGATATCTTTCTGCTACCCAGACCCCCACTGGGGCACAGGATTGAAGCAATCCCGAGGCAGTTTTGGGGAAGAGCTATGTAAGTCCCCAGGAATGAGGGGCAGGGAAGAGGGCAGCTGAGAACCCATACCTGGGGAGCAGGAGGATGCAGTGAGCAAGACCACATGTGTGCTGGATTTGGATGGAAGGTTAGAGCTGCATGTCAACATTGAGTAAGTTCTAGGAGGTCTATCCTCTTGTATTGGCTAAGTCAAAAGGTCCACACAAGAGCCCAAGTGATTTACTTCTTACAGTGAGATTGCCCTTGATCCACAGTTTGACGCTGAATGCATCTTTGATTTTTGGCATGCTTTCATTTTCTAATTCATATCCCCATGACACAAGTCTTTCCACCTTCTGTCTTTCTCATATCAACCCCTCTTTTCACTTAATGCCATTTGGGAACCTGAACCACTGTTTTATAACCTGGCTGCACAATGGAATCACATGGGGGGATTTAAATATAACTGATGTGACCATAGGGGTACAGCCTGGGCACTGGGAATTTCAGAAGCTCCCTGCATGATTCTGGTGTGCAACCATAATTGGAAATCACCAATTGGTCCACTAATACAGTCATTGTCCATCAGGATCTGTGTTAGGATGCAGGTTTCATTTCTCTTTAACTTGGCAGAGATGGAAACACACATCATTGGACCTACCTGAGGGTGCAGGAGTCACATCTGCAGCCCAGTTCCCAGCATCTGTATACATAGAGCATAAGTAAATTTAGAAAATTCAAATTCTGTGAAAACAAAGAATTAGTGCTTTTCTACTGCTTCAAGCAGGCAGGCTTTGCATTATATAAGCAAGCATAGGGACGTGGTTTTCTATGGAAAAGCAGCTGCACAACTCGTGGCATCTGTCTCCAGAACAGCCAGTCGCTCAGTGATCTTTGTTTACCTAGTTGAAGGGATGTTCACCTGTTGGCCACTGTCCTTAGCTTCCCCAGCTCTGTTCTGCACATGTACCCCGTTCATCCCTGAGATCTCTTATACAAAGAACATACAGTTGGGGGAGAGGGTACCTGAGCAGACCACACCGGCATCCTCGTGATGGCCACAGTTGTGGTCTGACCAGCCAGAGCTGGAACACTGGCCAAGATGGTTCTCACTTCCTGAACACTGAATGTTGTCCAGAAGAATGTCCCCAGAACCTCTGCCAAAGTAGGCCTTTCCAGGAGCAGCAATTGCCTGTCCACACTCCAGCTGTCTGCACACAACCTCGGCTTCAGTCAGGTCCCACAGGTCATCACACACAGTGCCCCAGGTCCCCTGGTGGAGAATCTCCACGCGTCCCGAGCACCGATTGGAGGTGCCCACCAGCCGCAGAACGGGTGCATCTTCTAAACACAGGGAGATTTTAGTTTTTTAGTTTGGGAAGCTTTACATAAGAAATGACTCTGGCTCCTGTGCTACAGCCAAGGCAAACATGAGAGCAAAACCCAAAAGGTGTCTTGATTCCATAAGAGGTTTAAGGGTTTTGTAGGAGACCAAACTGGGTTGAATCCTAGTTTCACTGATCTTCAGTTGTGTGACCTTTGAAAAACTATTTATTCTCCCTGGGCCTCAGTTTTCTCATCTGTAGAATGGAAGACCCCAACAACATCTACCTCAGTAGAGTGAGTCAATGAGAGTTATGTGCAAGAAGCATCTAGCTTGTCATGGTTAACACAGACTGTCTGTTGCAGTTATGGCAAACCTTTTAGAGAACACATGCCCAAACTGCAACCCAAAACCCACTTGTCACAAAGTGCCAACACTGCAATTCACCCTAAGTACTGATTTTTTTTCGTATTAGGAATTGAACTGGGGCCCTTGCACTTGCAAGGTGGGCACCGGAACCACTGAGCTAAATCCCCAGGCCAATACTGACATTTTAGTTTGGAAAAGAACTGTCATATACTTGGCTCACGTGGTGACAGAGTCATCTCTGTGTGCTGACTATGGAACACGTGTCATAGGTTCATCACCACTGGTCTATAAGGCCCTGGCTAACAGAAGCCCGACAGCATCTCATTTGGGTGAACTGAGAGTCCAGTGCATGCAAGGTCTGAAATGGTCCGGCTTGTAGAGAGAAGCAGAATCCCCTTAAAGTATTGACCTTCAGAACTCTGGACAGCACCCAAGTGTGGCTAGTGCTGGTGGATACAGCCCCAAGACCTTCATAAACTCAGTTTCCCCTCACAGCCTATATCTTTCCCCATGAATGGTAGCTGCCTGGCCATTTTAAATACAGGATATAAATCATTCCCTTGTAGCTTTCTATGTAGACCTCTCTGTGAGAAAATCTAGTACCTACGGAGCAGGGCTGATGAAACTAAGTGCAGTGCTCTTTTAAAACTCAATCCCAGACCTCTGCTAATGGGAAGTCTCTCAAGTTAGAAAGTCTGCTGTCCTTATAGATCAAAAGCTACATAGGGATTAC